TGTTTCGGTGCGAGTCAGCTGACCGGGCTCACGTGACTCGCTGGCTGGAGCGGGCGGCGCATGCTGCTGCGCGGCGGCGATGGAGCAGTGAGCGGTAAATAGCCCCGGCGCTGCCCGCCCGCCCGCAGCCCGGTGAGTGCGGGGCGGGGAGCGCGGCGCGGCTCTAGCACCACTGGGCGCGGGCCTCCGACCCGCCAGACTCCAGCCCGCGCCCGCTTGAGCTGGCCCAGGGCCGGGGCCGCGCTGCGGCCTGTGCGCAGGAGAACGCCTTCCCCTCTCCCCCCCCCCCTTACAAACGGGCATTTTCTTCACTTGCAAAATAGGACGTGGGCCTCACTTCCCTGTTGCAGCAAGTTCCCCGGGGAAGCAGCTGTGGCGAGGAGGAGGGAACCATGGAAGGGGCAGCTCCAAGTCCTCCGCCCCCGGGGCCCTGCCCGTCGGGAGCCGGGTTGTCATCCCCCGTCCTGCCCCACAGCTGAGCCACCTGCTCCCTTCCAGTGCTCCCTTGCAGATGGGCCAGTGGTGGTATGGATTGACGGCTGGCTTGTTCTCAGACGTGAGATGTTTCCAGGGAGTGATGGTTTCTGGAGGAATCAAGCAAGTTTAGCCTCTGAGAAACACGCGAGTCCCACCTCCTTGCACCTGGTGCATTGAAATAGATTTCCTAAGTTATCCTGGTGCCCAGATTGGTTATTTGGGTTGTTAACAATGTGGCTTCTTTCCCTGTTAACACAGGCAGTGTTTTATATGCATGCGAATGACAGGAGTTTTAGGTCCAGTTCGGTGGCAATTTTTAATGTCTTCAATTCTTGGTCTTGCTTCCTATTTAACATGCAGGCACTGCGTTCTAGTGCAGTGGTTCTCAACCTTTCTTAGACCGCAGGTACTCCTTGGAAAATATGAGACTTTCATTTTCACTCAACTTGTGACTACAGAAGAGTAATAGGGCAATTCTTCTGCTGCAAATAACTCGGGAAAACCACAACAGGGCAGATGGTTTTAGACACGATAGATTACCATTCAGAATCTTTTGGTTTGTCTTGTGGATTGTGTTTGTGCATCTAGCAGTGCTAGAGGGGCACCCCTGGAAGGATGTCAAGGGACCCAAAGGCGTCTTGTTACCCTGGTTGAGAACTGCTGGTGCGTTCCAATAAACTTTCCTGTTACCTTGTTGTTTTAAGATAGAATTAGTGTCATCTCACAGTGGTACTAGAGCAGGGGCGGGTAATTATTTTGAGTAGAGGGCCGCTTACTGAGCTCTGGCAAGCCATTAAGGGCCACATGATAGGCAGCCAGGGGCAGGTAAATATTAATTTTCTAAATTTTTTTTAGGTGCCCTGCAGGCCAGATAGAATGGCCTGGCAGGCCATATCCGGCCCCTGGGGCACATTTTGCCCACCCATGTAGAGAGTTTCATGATGAATTGTTTTGCAACTGTTCCAAGTGAATATTGGCTCTACTTTCCACTTCCTTGGAAAATTAGAAGACATTATTTGTATGAAATACCAACCTTCCTTTGATCTGTCATATAAGGAATTGCCTATAAACCTATAGCAACTTATGCCACTTAAAAATTGGTCATAGTTGCATTAATATTTTTTTAGATTCTATGATTAAGAATCCTCTAGTCAGATGAAAATAGAATTTAAGAAATTATCTTAAATATCCCAGACATGCTCATAGACTTGTCTATGAAAAGATACCCCTCCTCCCTTGGTTTTTTATGTCTACAGAATTTTTTTGCTGTGCAACCTGGTTAAAAATAAATGTCTTAATGATATTTCAGAAGAATAACAAATTATTGGTCCCACTGTTGAAATATTTGTTGTACTGGTTTCCCTAAACTTACTATGTACTTTGCCTATACTCCTTGGGTTTGAAGCTATTGTTCTGCTGAAGGAGTAGAAACTGTAAATGGCATGGAATATAATGGTAATATCAGTGAGAGAAAGAAACAAACTCTGAGTATATTTCTACATTTGACTTCTTTTTTCAGAGTTCATCACAGTGTCTAGTTTTGCACAAGTGGGTAGCAACTGTAGAGCAAGTTATTCTGATTGTGTTATATTATGACACTTAGCTGCTTCAGAAAGTTATACTACCAAATTCCTTTTGAAAGTCTGCCTTTTCTTTATTTTGTAAAGTCAGTGTTGCAACTAAATTGGTATTGCAGTGCAGTACTAATGTATCATTTGGAGGAAGTTGGTGTGTGCGTCTACTACAGGCATTGGCAGACAAGGTTCTTTGGGTGAATCTGATATCTTTATTAGACCAACTTAAATAGTTGGAAAACAATTATTAAGCAAGCTTTTGGGTTCAGAAACCCTTCATCAGGCTAAGGAAGTTTCAGCAGTTGGTGTGTGTTCTTCCTGGATGGAATGAAAAGTAAAGAAGCCAGCGGCTGAGCTGGTATGCATACAAGACAGGTAGTCAGCGACAATTTAGACTGAGGAATCAATGGTTGAGAGACTGAGGAGTCAATGGGTGAGAGACAGGCTGGGTGGGTGGGGAAGAGAGAGAAGGGGGGCTAATAGTGAAGAGCTACCTAGGGAGTCAGTATCTCTTTGCTATTCATCCCCCTTCTCTTTCGCCCCCCCTCCCCAGCCTCTCTCTCACCCATTGACTCCATTTTCATTGACTACCTGTCTTGCATGCAGACCACCCCAGCCTCTGGCTGCTTTACTTTTCATTCCATCCAGAAAGAGCACACACCAACTGCTGAAACTTAATTAGCTTGAGGAAGGGTTTTTGAACCTGAAACTTGCTTAATAATTGTTTTCCAACTATTTAAGTTGGTCTAATAAAAGATATCAGATTCACCCAAAGAACCTTGTCTGCCTATGTTCTTAGACCAACATGGCTACAACCTACACCCCTACTACAGGCAGAACTTCATTCCATTACAGGTACTTCTGACTGCAGTTCTTTCAGAGGTACTTTCTTAGACAGTGGTGAGAATTAGATGGCTAATTTGATAAACACTGATTATTTAAAGAGCATCACCCTAATAACACTGCTTTTTCTTTCCCAATATTTGGAAATCCTGTTAGATGCTTAAAAGTAGTACTAAACCAATGAGTTGAAGTTTAATTTAGCTGTCTAGAAAATCTTCAGGTGAGAAGCCAGTCTCTTCCTATAGTTGATGAGAAATGTGATATACTGCATTTACTTGAATCTAAGATAAGGTTTATTTCCCTGTTTAACATGGAGGAGGGAGAAAAAAGCCCCTCATATTGGATTTGAGTACAAGGTGGCTGGGAGGTATGTGGCTGCAGTGACTCTGGCTTTTGATCCTAATACAGCTTGGGGTTGTAGTTGTAGCTGCTGCCTGCCCAACCTGTCTAAACTCTTGCAGCCCCTAATTCTCCCCCCACCCCTGCTTACCCCTGGCTCTGTCAGGGATCAAGTCCTGGAGCTTGTGGTTGCTCCAGCCCAGTGTGGTAACAGCTGGTAGGCACCAGGGGCAGAACAGATGCCAGGGGTATAGGCATGGGAAGGGCAAATAAGAGGGGGGTGGGGGGGCAGGTGCCGGGGTATAGGTATGGGAGGGAAGTAGTAGAGGGACAGAGGGGGCTGGTGCCGGGGAGGCAGGCACTGGGGTGGCAGGTGGGGGGGGTAGGTGGCAGGGGTAAGGTGTGGGGTGCATGGGACCACGGGGTCAGGATGCTTGATCCCTTTTACTTCCCCCTTGCCTGCCACTGCTTTCCCTGCTACAGCAGTGGGAGTAGCAGGAATGAAATTGAAGATGATCCTCCAGTATAAGCTTATATTTAATTATAACCAGTTGATATATTTTTCCATGTATTAAATCTAATTATTAGGGGGTCATCTTAAATTCATAGTAGTCTTGAGTTTGGGTAAATGTTATTTTTACCCTGCTCCATTTTTCATTTAGATGTCCAGCTAATAGGTACCTATTTTCTTCTGGCTCCTAAAAAAAATAACATTTGCTTTTTTGTTCCTCCACCAGCATATGGTGTCCTGACAGCTAGTAAAGGTAGGTTGGTGGAGTCTCTGCTGTTCCATATTTGTTTTCTGCTTACTTAGATGGAGCTATTTATTTGCTATGGGTAAGGTAGCAAATTCACTTTTCGAGCTCTGAGAAGAATCATTTTAAACATGACCATATTACTGTTTATTTACAAGAAAATTAAAAATTGTTTTAAGTTTAAAATCCTGATTTATATATTTGATGTAACCAAATCCTTTTACCAGTCCTTTTACAAACATTGATTTAACTTTAATTTTAGTTAGCAAGAAGATGTATTGACTATAAAACTATGTAAAAAGTTGTAAAGCAGTTTAAAGTATTGTGTTGCAGAAGCCAAATAAAAGGTTGGCTATAAGCTACTCTTAGTTTATAACTTCACTTTTAATAACAGTAGACTGTATTTGGTATCTTTTATTTTCAAAGGCATTCTGTACTGACTTTTAAGAACATGGACTTGGTCTATATTATAGATTTTCATCAGGAAAAAAAATTAAATAATTAAATACTTTGATTTATGATTCCTGCTTGTTCTTTTAGAAAAACTGTTTTTCACAGCATCTTCTCTTATGTGAAAAATTAAACCAGGGCTGTCCAGCTGGTAGCCCATGAATCACATGCAGCCTGTGAGGGCTTAACATTCACCTAGTGGTCTCCAGCCAGGTTGCATTACTCCCACTGCTGCCAGGGTCCCCTCTCTCCTCTGGCTTCTGCTTCCTGTCCCTGCCATCACCCCTGGGGGCTAGAGAGAAGTGAGGGTTGCACTGCCAATGTGGTAGGGGGCCCATGCAGCTTGCACTGCCCATGTGGAAGGGAATGGAGGTGGGGGGGACCCTGGAAAGCCCATTTGGCTGCTCATGTATTGGGCAGCCCTGAAATGAACGGTGTTACTCTGAAAGTGGTAACGTGTTACTCTGAAAGTGGTAACTTAATCTGAATTGATCACATCTAAGATGTTGTTGGAATGCTTTACATTTGTTAAGAGCCACTTGGATCTGGCTGAAAGACTTGTTATGTTCCTTTTGTTGTACTGCATGGAAGAGTCAGGTTTTTGCTGGCGTGTTTGCAACATTCTGCATGAAGTGAGTAGTTGCCAAAGTCCTTTTAGAAAATACTAATAAACTTTTTTTTCAATGCTAGTCAATCCTGGAGTGTGGCAAGCAGAAAACCATGCAAGTGAGCTGAGCACTCCCATGTGGGGTTGGGATTTTTTAAACTGAACTCTTGCCTCCTGAAGGGGTATGTGGCAGTGGCAAGTCAGAAACCATTCTGGGGTTGTTCATATCCTCTGAATGTTACACAGCTTTTTAAAAAAAATCCAAACCTTTTGGTAGTATCTTCAAATCAAATATGGGAACTGTATAATACAGGCTTGGCATGGGGAATCCACAACGTGAGGCCCCATCAGTATTTAGTTTCTACAAATGTAACAATAAAATGAAGTAGGGCTGTCAAACTACTAAAAAATTTTATTACAATTAGTTGCGCGATTAAAAACAGTTGCAATTAATCACAATTTTAATTGCACATCTAAAACCTCAAAATTATGTGCAGAAACACTAAAATTATGCCTATAGTTTATATAGTTGGGGGGAGGGTATGGGGGTGTGTGGGGAAATTTGTGAAGTTGTGTGTGTGGGGGGGGCGGTTGGAGCCTGTGGAGGGCAGGTTCCTGGATGCGGGGCCGGGGCGGGTAGTAGGATGGAACCATTTTCCCAGTATGGGAGATAGGGTGCAGCTCCTACTGCTACACGGACCCCCAGGGGGGGCATGTGTGCCCTGGGTTTGTGCGCAGGGTGGAGGCAGGCTGTGGATGTTCATGTGTGTCTGTGTGGGCCCCCTGTGCCTCTCCCCCACCGGTTCCTAGGCTGTTCTGCAGTCCTCTGAGCTACCGCTGCTGCCTTGCTGGGTAGCCTGGAGGCAATGGTGACAGGAGCAGAGTAGAACCCGATCTCCAAAACTGCATGTATGATTAATGCATTTAAAAAAAAATATGAACACTGATTATCATACGTGTTAACCATGATTAATTGACAGCCTGAAAATGAAGCTTTGGGCCTGCCAGGGTGCCAGTGAATTTTTGGCATGTGTTAAGGTGGAGAATGGGAGAAAATTATAGGTGCTTCCCACCCTGGGACATTCAGTAGATGAAACAGTGGATGACAAATGCTGTGAGAAGTGCTGGAATTTCCCCAAATAGAAAGGCTTTAATGTCCTTCTACAGTAGGGGTTTTCTAATTGTGGGGCACACCCCTTTGGGGGGTGTGCAAAGGAATGTTGTAGAGGGCACAGTGGAGGAGGGCCGGGGCAAGAGGTTTGCAAGGAGCCAAAGCTGCTACAGCCTTGCAGGGGAATGTAGGGGCAGAGAGCCCCAGATGGGCTCTGCCAGCAATTTTTTTTTGCAAAAGTCTAGTTGGTCTAATAAGATATCACCTCTACCATGAGTCCTATAAGTTGGTAGTTGAAATCTCAGGATATTTATGTAAGCAAGGGGATATAGAATCCAACAACATAAGTTGTTTCCTGCTAGAAATTGGAAGAGTCTTGACTACGTGGTTTGACTTGAATACTGCATCTGTGCAAGGGCTTAAACTAGGCAACCCTTTGGAATCTGACTTGGAAAGCTTTAGCATAAAGTTAGGGAGGGGGGCGTTGTTTTTAAAAAAAACAATAGCATCTACACACCTTTGCCAAAAATGCAGAACCTCTTCAGCAAATATTTAAGTAATGTAGTCAGGTATCCTATTGCTAAAAACGTCTTAATGTTTGCAAACTTTGGTATGGCAGAGCACTGCCACTTAAAGGGCTAGGTCAGACATCCAGCAAGTGCCTGATGGCAGAAGCCATTTTGAGAACTTAGTACAGGCAGCCTCCACTTAACATGGTTTCACTTAGCGCTATTTCGCTATAGTGTTCATTTAAAATTCATACCTCATTTCATTTAGTGCTGAGCCAGTTTTGCTATAGCACTCAGCAAAACAGCAGCGGCAAGAAGTGGTGAGTGGCAGCGAATGGGTGGGTGGGCATGAGCTCGGGGCCCACACTGGTGCCGCAGGGCCAGGGCCAGCAGGAGCCCAGGGTGGGACAGCAGGAGAGAGGGACCCAGGGAGGCACATGATGCTGGAGGGCGGGGGGCATGGGGAGAAGCGGCAGCAGCAAGAAACATGGGTGCAGGGCCCCTGCCAGTGCTGTCAGGGTCCCAGGGCAGGGCAGCAGGAGCATGGGGCCTGGGCTGGCACATGGTGCCACAGTGGGTGTCAGGCAGGGTGGTTGGGAGAATCATGAGTGTGGGGCCCTATGGTGCCAGAGCTGGGAGGAGCGCAGGGCATGGGCTGGCATGTGGGGCCGGAGTGGCCAGCAGGCAGGCGGAGACGTGGGGAGAGGCATCAGCGATGATGAGAAGCTACAGCAAGAAGAAGTAACCAATCATTTCTATTTACATTAAACCCTATGGCAATATGGGTTTCACTTTGTGTGGTTCTGCTTAACGCTCAATTTTCCCGGAACCAGTTAAGAGCATTAAGCATGGGTTGCCTGTATATAAAAGCTGCAGTCTGCTGCTGCCAGCCCAGGCAGAAACATCACCTAGCTGAGCTGCAGCAGGAACAACCAGGAAGTAAGGCCAAGAGCTTATGGGGATGGCTAGGAGACTCTTGGTCCTTGGCATGACCTAAAACTACATCCTGCCAGGGATAGGTGGCCTGGTGGGGCTCCTAGTGGCATGGGAACCCCCAGGAAATGCCAGGCCAATTACCACCCCAGTAAAAGGTGGGTTAGGGCACCTTAATAACCCCAGCTCCCACAACTGAGTGGGTAACTCCATAGTAGAGCCGAGAAGATGGACCCATAAGAGAGTTTGGGCTAGTTGCTTGGAAGCGTGACTTGAGGCACCCTCAACGGGTCAGTGCTGGAGCCAGCACCAGAAGGGTCAAAAGGGCTAGGGGCCCACCGCGAGGGATGTCCAGAGCTGAGGACCTGGGGTTCTGACTTGCTTTGAAGGTAAGGCCAGGGTCTGTGTGGCCAAAGGTCCCTGGGTGGGGGGGCACACCCAAGAAGGGGAAGAGTGCAGGGAGCAAGGCAGCCCAGAATGAGGGTAGAGCAGGCTGCCTGATGGGAGGGATCCAGTTGGGGTTCAGACTGGAGGATTATGGGGCCCAGTGTGGGGCTGGAAACGCTAAGAACTATGATGCCATCTGCAAGGCATGGGCTGCGGTGTAGGGAAGGTTCGGAGTCGCAGATAGCGCTTGTGGCTAGCCTACAAACTCATTAGCGGGGGTCAGCAAGGGATCGGGGATACTCTGTTTACCAGGGCCCCCCTCAGGGTTTGTAGAAACAAAGGCCATAAACTGAAGGAGAGTAGATTTAGATTGGACATCAGGAAGAAATTCTTTACAGTGAGGGTTGCCAAAATACGGAAAGGGCTTCCAAGGGAGGGTGGTGCTTTGCCCTACCTTGGAGGTGATCAAGAGGAGATTAGACAGGCATCTGTCTGAGGTTACTTGACCCCAGTGCTCTTTCCTGCCCAGAGCAAGGGGTCAGACTTGATGATGTAATAGGTTCCTTCTGACCCTAGAAATCTGTTAAATTTCTTGGTGTTGGGGCTGAGAGACTGGGCATCTTCCCACATGATACCACCAGTTTCTGAGAACAGCAAAATTGTGGCAGGTGTGACTGGGCAAACTGCCCCATAGAGACAGGTGGGAGGGCCAGCATGAGACCCAGCCCTGAGAGGGTGCCCTCTGTCACAAGGAGAAACTAGAAGTTAATAGTATTAAAATTTTAATTGCAAATGGACAAAACTCACTTGTGTGTTAACTTGACTAATTATCATTCACTTACTAATTCCAAAATCCTGTTACTCTTTTGGTCATTGTTCTTTTCATGCTGTAACAGCCTACAAAAATGCTGCAAGGAAATCAAAGATATAGTGAGTGTTTTAGGCACTCAAGTGCTCTCTTTCTCCATATATATTCTGCTTTGAAAAGTAATCAAGAAAAAATTATAGTATTTTACTTAGTTAATTTTCTCTTCTTGTGTATTCAGGCACATTTGCCAATGGTCCTGGCTTAATAACACTATCCATTACCATACTGATGCTGTTAAGTGTGTGCAGCTGTGGGTTTGAGTTGGATTCTATCCTAGCCTGTACACAGTCAGTAGACTGGTTGGATCTCTGCTGTTGAGAGAACCTGCCATAAATTATAATTTTTGAATTTGCAGGACTGGCAGTCTAGAAGTAAAATCACTTAACTGCATAAATGATCTGGAAGTCCTGAAAACACATGATTTTAATTTTTTTAAGTAGCAGCTCGTGATGTGCAGGATTACACAATTATACTCTGAGAACACTGTACTAGTTCCTTTTTTTTTTTTTTTTAATAGCTTTGTTTTAATGGAACCTAAAACGTAGCTAATCACAGATTCTCCCTCTCTCTTCTCTTCCGCCCCCCCCCCTTGCAGCATCTTGTGTCTATCTTCAGAAATACCACGTGTCAAGATAAAGTGACAAAAATGACAGAGTTCTGGCTGATTTCTGCTCCTGGGGAGAAAACCTGTCAACAGACATGGGAGAAACTACATGCTGCTACTACAAAAAATAATAATCTGTCTACCAATTCAAAGTTTAATATCCCTGACTTAAAGGTATGTAAATCCCTAAAATGTTCCTGTTTTCCATATCTTAACTGGGTTTCTTCTGAACAAGATACCCAAATGAATTTTCACTTATGGTTGGTACTTTGCTTGTAAATGTTGGACTTTTCTGAAGGCAATTCTGCATTATAGAAATATATCTAGACCTGAAAATTAGAAGCAAATGCACATAGGAAAAACTAATTTTTCAGTTACTATTTAAACATTTTGAATCTAAAATTCCTTTTTAGTCTCTAAAATCTGAAAAAGGCACATTTCTTGCATATGGTCACAACTACTGCCATGGAAATAAGGGATCCTGAAACAGTCAGTAGATAAACTGAAGAAGGTATTTCTTTTACTTCAATTTAAGATGGATAAATGTTGCATGATCACTAAGACTTGCGATATAAGCTGTCTGGTGGTAGGATTTTTATGGTCCACTTCTGAATTACCTGCTGCTCCTTTCCCATCTGTGATGATATGAAATGGCCTGGTTAAAATCAGAATCTTTCAATCAGACACAGCACTGCCTTGTTCAGAGTAGATGGCAGCTGAGCTGTCTCAGTGCAGCCTGCCAAGGTATGGCATGGAAAAATAGAGACAGTGGGTACATTGTTAAATTGATAGCAAGGGCAAGGAAGAGAAGGTTGAAAGCAGTTTGTTTTGGCCTGCATTTGTTTCTTTTCAGCAACTGTAGCTTTGGGAAATTACCCTTTAAATTTAAAGAAGGCATATAATGGAGTTAGGATAGTTCTAGAATAAAAAAGAATCATGAGCCTGAATCACTGTTATAAAAGAAGAGAACCTATTAGAAGAGAAAAGTAGAAAAAAGGAAGCAGGGAGAAGAATATCTGTCAGAATGTTTCCTGTTCAGCCAGAGGCTATTTACTTATCTGCAAGTGATGCCAAATTGCACAGCTCTCCAGTTGTTTCCCAGCTACAGTGTGATTTATAACCCCCCCCCCAAAAAAAA